TGCCTCCCTCGTCGTCCTTACTCACATTCATAGTTTTATCATTCTTAGTAAGTTTGAAACTACATGGATTACAAGAAATCTTAATCCCTTTGGGGTTGATTTCAATTTCATTCCTTAACTGTAACTTTCCATCACATAGGGGACAGTTGAAAGTAATATTTTTACTTGTTAATTTTGTTCTTAATTCAATTTTATCATTGTTGGTTCATCATCTGACAGTTCAAAATCCTCTGGGATTGGTTGTTTCTTGAATTTACTGCTTTTCTTTTTTGGTGGCATCTATATAAAGACCTACAAAATTAATTACAACTTTAAGGATTTCAAGTGAGTATTTACAGCAGATTTTAATTTTGCTATTTGCGACAACTGGGAATTTAGTGTCATCAACGACTCTATCTTCAATAATATCAATATATTCAATGTATCGTCTATATTCATCCATATATAATTGTAGTTAGATTATATGTTAAAAATATCATCTAATTATACTTATACACAGCATTGTCAGGGGGACGGGGGTTCAAAAGACAAACCAATTCACACATCTTCCGTTGCTTCTAAAATGGACTGTGACGATGGTTTAATTAACTGTTCTGATGCTCTTATGGCAGATTGAAGCGACTGTTCCATTTCACCTGACCCCAATCTAAGGCAAAATGTTTCCTTCAATATATTAATTTATATTTATTTCTTTAATATATTATAATGAAAAAACTTGATGTTCCTAAGATAGAACCTATCAATGTAAAACAGTATGAATTCAAACAGTCGCCATACCCACAGGCAGATAAACTCCCATTCAGAAGCATCATTGTTTCAGCATCACAAGGCGGAAAAGGCATATTGATGTTCACAAGGGCACCAGGCTATTGATCGATATCTATGGATATGACATGGACCATGATTACATATATGATATTATCATATTATATGGTTTTATATGGTTTTGTATATAATGATCCATATATAATATGGTAATATATCTATGTGATATAGACAATTTGGGGATTCACTTGATGCTTCCGTGCAGCGAGGTCCGATGATCTCAGCAGTCCGACATTTTTGCCGCTTCTTTTACAGCCAAACACGGCGCTGTTTTTTTTCGGTGGTGATTCACCCCACGTGCCCAACTTGCAAACGCCAGTTATACCATCATGTCACAAGTCATGTCCCAGTGCTATAGTCAGCTCGGAGTTAAGGAGTCAAAGAAATCACACATTCCCTTTGGTTCTGGCTCTACCGCACTTGTAGCTCAGAAGTGTCTGGACAAACATACACGGGTCGCCGACCAGAGCATTTTTCGCGCGTGTCATGCCGACCTCCAGAGCCGAGGCCAGGCAGGGTTTAGTCAAATTGGACACCAGGTGGTTCACGATTGCTGGTGAGGCTCAACCTCTGCGTGGCGACAGCGGAGGTGGAAGAAGCTGTGGAGATTTCTGAAGATCCACAATGACAAATAGTTGTTGTGCTTCTTGTTGGGATGGGTTGAAGGCATCAACCAGATGACCGTGATATATTATATATATTACAGGTATATTATAGAGCTGATTCAAGTTGTTTCATGTTCGAATTGTCTTCTTTTCCAGAATATCTATACTCATATTGACTATCCCTATATGATGGCTGGGGGACGCAAAAGCCCAGCGAATCCACGACTGCCCAGTGGCATAGTGTATTCTAAGCAGCGGTAATCAACACTTTGGGCATCGAGACTTCAATACATCGGAGTCAACTCTGGCATCACAAATGATGGTTTTACCATGGTTTACCGAATTGCCCTTCCGCAGCTTCCATTCCGACATCAACCACTGGCAGCCTCTGTTGGATCCAACTCGGCCATCAAATTGGAGGTTTCCTGTGGTGGTACCCCCAGTCATCATCCAATTTTTGGTGGGTTTTTCCGTATAAACAATCCATTTTAGGGTATTCACCATATGAAAAAGCCATGAAATTGGATGTTTTAATCTGGAAAAGCTCCCATTTATGAAAAGCTCCAATTCACCAACATGGAAACCATCCGTGTCAGGATGTTGCCAGTGTCTATGGGCCTGGTTGGAATCATTCCTTGGAGGGGCCGGGAACCTTGGGAACCATCGGGAAGCTGAGCGAGAGCTGGAGGAGATGGGACTATCCTGTACAGTTATGGAATATCGCCTCTATGATTTTCTATGTGTTTATTTTACAACACTATATAAGCAACTATAAAATAATATAATGGAATATATATATATATATATATATAATATGTAATTATAAGAAAATATAAGATGTATATATATATATACTTATTTGATGTGTACCTATATATATATATATTGACCACGATTGGCAGCATATAGCAAATGATCACACCACAAGCAGCGCAGATCTCACCGTCCAAGGTGCTAGGGCAACGTGGAAATCCCTGGAGACCGGAGGCACGTGGATTTCCATGGATGGGTTGCTGGGGGTTGCTGGGATTATTGTTAGCCAGTGGATCATTCCCGAACATTCCCTACTATGTCTAGTAAGAGAAGCATCCGTTTTGTAAATGTTCAAGCTACCTTGACCCTGCTATTGAAATGTCTATTATTGGCTTACTGGGCTATACTCGGGGTCAACAATCGAGACCCGCTTTGCCTCAGTGGTTTCGAACATCTATTTGATTTTCCATATGTTTTGCTTATATAATGATTTATTAAATACATGTTATATACAGATTTTCCATGGGTTTTTCCATGCATTTATTTGGGATTACCTAATGACTTTACATGTTTAGATAGATTCGTTTGGTAAAAACTCAATGATTCTATTGATTTACCCTTGAACCAGCTCACTGGTGTTTGCTTAATAAACTCCCCATGTTGAAGAATGCTGGCTCACCCATGTATATATTCAAATCACCATGTTACTACAGCAACCCACAGGACAGTAAAGCAAAGTAATTAATGCAAAATCCTTTGGAAAACAGGTAGTACAGGATGGTGCCCCCCAGTTATAAGTTGGTTTATAAACCCCATTAACTATAGTTATATCTACCATAAACCATAGTTATGGGAGTTATAAACCAACTTAGCTAACTATGGGGCACCACCTTGTAACTCGATGTAACTCGTGTTTCAATTTTTGCCTTGGGCCTTGCTCCAGGCCCGTGCCGAGCCCGGCCCCGATGGCCAGCGCAACTCGCTCCCAGGCGTTTCCGGTTATTTATCATAGCTATGGAAAGTGGTTTATTTACAGATGAATTTCCCATGAAAACCTCCATTTTTTCTGGATTTTCCAGTTCGCTATGATAAATCACCGGATGGTAATGGTCTGTTTGTAAAACCTATGTGGTTCATGGTGCTTCATGGTGGTTCCAACGAACATGCTCGACTGTTTTCAGCAGCCATCCCCCGGAAGATGATTCTCAAACTGGGGGCGTCATGGATTAATCGCTGGAAAATTCATCGCAATGGGCTTGGGTTGCCGGATAAAACTTTGGAATACTGTATTACTGTACATACATGACATACATTTAATTATGTTTTTGCGTTATTTGTGTTGGCGTTCTTCACTACTGTAATTAGCAATGGCTTGGATGAAAGGGAAATTTGCCGAAAACCCTGGTTTCTAACCTCAAACTTCCTCAAATATGAGTTTCCATAGGTTTCCTGCAGATTTTCCCTCCAACTTCAAACTACTGGGATGGAACATGTCTCAAAGATTTTCAAAGTTGATTGCTGCAGGCGCAGATGCCTTTGCATCCTGAAGGGCGAAACCTGCCGTCAGCGAAGTTGGTTGATGTTGGGACTTCTTGATATTTCCAATTTGGACAACGGACATTAAGCTATAGCAACTAGTTGCAACTAGCCATCAGAAGACGATGATGTACGATTATTTAAGTACCCTTAAAATCCAAATCAAAGACTATCTTAAACATTATTAAACACAACGTTTAAAGACTATCTTAAACCATGAGACGCTAAGCCCATATCAACCAACAGTGCCCCGTTGCAGCTCACATAGCTTGCGGATTACTACCAGGCCCCAAAGATTGGGTGCTGGTTCTGACCGGATTTGCACCATGATTTAAAACCTCAAGATGTTTTAAGTAGTTAATAATACATAGTAGTTTTACTGTGATATACTGTGATTTACTGTGATATACTGTGATATTCTTAGAATGTTCTAGACATTTCCGTATAGAGAATATATTGTATATAATGTTGTATACCGATTAGTGTCCCGGGACTCTATTGTGAAAATAAATAAAAATAAAATAATTGAGTATCTTGTGAATGGGGGGGCGGGCCTTTATTGTGAACAGTTTTTTCTCAGATCCATTTTTTCAGAGCCATATCTATGTTAAAGCCTTGAAAATGCAAGGCTTCCCAAATAATTAGATGCCTTATTAAACCCTTATTGAGACACAGTACCCAAACAATTTTTCAAGGGGGTACCCCATGAGTGACCCAGATCCTCAATAATGTATTTTTTTCGATGGTACCCTATTGTGCACAAAAACTGTTGGGACGATATTGTTTTGGATTTAAAAGGAAAATCAATGAAAGTAGATTGATGTCAATTGAAATCCTCACTTAAGTTGACTACAGTACCCTAAAAATTGTTGAGGGGGGTCCAGAGAATGGCGAGTTATTGAGTAGCCTAAAATTGTTGAAGGGGGAGGGCCCACACTAATCAGTATCCAACATTAGTATATTATAATATACATATGCTCCCCCTTGTAAATTCCCTTATGGAATGGGTGAACCCCTTTCCGGGTCCATTTTATAAGGATTTCACTTTTTAAGAGGAGACAAGAAACCCTTATAAAATCATGGCCTAGTGCTCTCAAAAACCGTAGTAGAATTGCGCCATTTTATAAACTGCCCCAATTTTGTGGGGCTAAAAAATGATAAATCCAAGTAAGAAGAACGATGTCTACCCCTGGGTCACAAACAACCTTACATATGTATATGTTTCGTACAATAAACAAAACCTCATAGCCTTCATGACCGTCATGGCTGTCGATAAGCCAGGTGAACCTGTCCAAATGCATCACTGAAGAAGCTCCACCAGCTTTCAATCCGGAGGTAGACCTGGTGGAGACCTGTGGTTACTGTCGGAATGTGCCATAAACCGCATCCAATTTTGGAGGCTTTATACAACTCAATTATAATAAGATTGAAAAAATCGGGAATGTCGGAATGTGCATATTGGGTTTACCATGGTTTACATCTTCTGTTGATCTTTATACATGTGATGCCCGTGCGTCGTTTTGCTATGGCTATACATATATTATCATATATTCAATGTATGTACACATGGGATATGCTCCTGCACAAAGGGATGGAACATCAACAATGGGGGTCGAGTCACAGGATACGTGAAGGACCCTGGTTTGCAAGAATGACCCGATTCTTTTGGATAGAAATATGAAGGAAGTATCAACAGATAGATGATGTACGAATTTAGTTGGAACTTATTATTACTTGTTTCAATCTTTCCAAATTTCATCTTAATCATAAGCTTATAGTTGGACTTCAATCTTTTTTTGGGTTCCAAGGTTCCAGGGCTTCGGTTCCATCACAGGCGCAAACTCAAAGATCCCTGGCGACGGAGGCGTATCCCATCCCTTGCAAGGTGAGGGGCCGATAGGGGCCGAGGGCCGCCCAGGCCGAAACAAAAGGATCCCCAGGTCATATTGTATTTACCCTCTGGTAATGGCTGACATAGCTATTGAAAATGGCTATTTATAGTGGATTTTCCCATTAAAAATGGTGATTTTCCATAGTTATGTTAGTTTACCAGAGGGTATATGCTAGATATGTATTATATTTATTTACAGTATATACACATATAATTGTATATAATTATATATATATATGCACATGTATTTGCCTACAAAATCGCACAGTGGCACTAAAAGTGCCAAGTGCACTACATGCTCGCAAACAAGGCTGTCGTCCGTATATACATTTTAGATCATGTTAGTTCCCATTTAAGGATCAAGCATCACCAATTATCAATTCTGATGCACCATCTGTTTTTTTGCCCACAATTTCGATCCAGACCCATATTGGCCATTGTTTTTTGTTCAGTTCAATCAATAGAAGTTTGAAACATGTGTGTGTGCGCGCGCACAAATATTCATATATACATACACGAGTATGAACAGAGTATATATATACATATATATATACATATATATATATATACATATATATATATATATTATATTATATATATATATTATACATATATATATATTATACAATATGTATTTTTGATATTACATAAATATGTAATATATATATATGTATATCTACATACAGATTTTATGATATTATATATATATATATTATGTATGTTAGTTAATACTCACATATATATATAATATAATATATATATATATATCATATTATATGTACATCCATTTACCCTTAGCCATGTCTTTTTCTCCTCACCAGGTGCAGCAATTTGAAGCCACCTTCACCATCACGGACCCCAAGAATTTCCAATCCATAGCTGCTTGACGAAGCGGGCGATGTCACTGGGAAATCACATGGCCGGAGATTGTGAGATTTCACTTCCCAAATTTCGTATGTCTTGGGTGAGAAAATCCTAGGTCTCTGTGTCGGACTGTGATTTTTTGTGGTCAGGGCTATGAAAAACCGGAGGCCGAACCACGATTCTTGGATGGTTTTTTGTAGTTTGGACGAAGTGCAAAAGCAGGTTGACTCGGACCCTCAGCGACATGTCTCATCCACGACTCTGAAGGCGTAAGGATAGTCAAAAGAAGTTGAAGATGGTTGGTACCAGATATAACATGATATCACCAACATTAACCAACTATAGTTGACATTGTATGAGATTAATAGGTACAATGTACCTGAGATGGTTGGGATGTTGGGTTCACCAAACCAATGCTGGGTGAGACGATCGTACAAAGAAAAGTGGTTCATTTTCGGGTGAAGGAAACAAACATTTGGGTGTTCCAACCAACCCATGCTGTATACATCTGCATACTATTTGATCAATGCCTAGCAATGCCTAGTCAAAGTCCCTGTTGGAAAGAGGCAATGCTGAGATGATACGTAAGCAAGTTGGACACAGCCTGCAGCCTGCAACACCACAGGTCAGAATCAAACTGTCATATGTAAAGTTGGCAGAAATCACTGAGATTGGCATTCAATCTCTTTGGCTTCTATATGAACACTACATTTATATAGCGTCATCAAGCACTGATGGCTTCACAGGGTTTCTAGTAGATGATTCTACGGACCGCTCAGGATCAGAAAGAGTTTCAGCAGCAAAAGGACCTGCCTTTTGGTGTGAAATGGCGTGCGGGTTGGTGAGCTTTGCCCAGGTTCAATGCTCCCACATAATGGTTCTTCTTTGCAATAACCTGACCTCTGAAGCTTCTTGTCTTTGGTTCTCAAGCGGACAAAGCGACTGATTCATCAGTTTATCATCATTTTTCTCATTACACTTGGGTTACAACTCACTTTCAGGCCCCGCATATCATATTATCAAGTT